GTAAAGTTATCGTAACGATATAGATTCGATATCGAATCTATATCGTTAGAATTTTTTGAGTTTCTGTAAAGTAAATATCTATTTAGCTACAGTGCCTAATAGAATGCATCATTTAGATTTCAGTTTATTTTACTATCAAATGATTTTTGTAAGAATTATTACGATTCTAATACAACAATGCCTTAGTTGATAAAATAGGTTTTCATTGTTAGTGATAGTCTTATTATAATGCATAATACTAACATAATTGACGAATGGTAATCTTGACAATCACGATTCTCAACTTTTTACCATTTCTCTGATTTCTCTAATTTCACTAATTTCTTAGCAATCTCTAATTTCACATATTTCTTTAATATATTTAATTTTTTATTTTCTTATATTTCTTATATTTCTTTACTATTTTAAATATATATTTTATATTGATGTATTTTATATAAATATCTTGTATTTCTGCATCAATAAATAGTAGAATCATTACTAATTCTCTAATAAATCAATAATATTTATCTCTAAAACTTATCTTTGCTTGTAAACTTAATTCATTTTTCTTTAAATTTATATCAATAAAGATGATCTAACCCTTCAATTTAAATTATTCGTATTTATTTTTTCCATAGTTTAGATGTACTTAAACTCGCTGCTAGTAAATAATCTTTGTTAACTTAATGACAAACAGTTTAAGCTTAATACTGTATAGCCACAATTTCTCATTTTTCTAATCTAAAAATATTTTTTAAAGAATTACAAACTGCAAAACTAACTGCTAATGAATATCATTCTTTGATGAAACAAATGATATTTGTATTAGATAATTTGTATAATTGAAATGATAAAGGAGTAGATAGTTTTATAAGTAATAATAAACTTATGAAATTATATGAAAGTTGGAATAAAATGTACATTATAAGTAGATATGAAGAATTTAATGAAGCTGATCTCAATAAATTTCAAGTAAGTTGATAAATATTTTTATTAAATTAAATCTAAAAAAAATAAAACTAATAATAAAATTTTTTTGAATGCAATAAATGATTGGACTAAAAGGTTTATCTGAATTTTTGAATTTATCTTCTGTTCAAATCTGAAGTTTCTGTAATTGCATTCATAGATATATCACATTATTGATTCTATATGATTATATGGTACAATAAATGGCTATACAATGGAAACTTATGAAAGTCTTCACAAGAATTTTATTAAAACCCTATATGAGCAATAAAAGAATATCAAAATTCAGCTTTTACAAACTGTAAGTATTTGATAATTTGATATATATATATATATATTTATAATTAATAAAGTGATATACCACCATGTAATATAATTATATTATATGGTAGTATACCACTTGCCCTAGATTATAGTATCACCATATAATCTGAATATCACCATAGAATCTGAATACTACTATATAATCTAAATATTATCATAAAATTTAAATACCATTATATAATCTGAAAATTACCATATGGGTGGTATGCTATTAAAATTGAGGTACAAATCATATGATTTACTATATCCTATACTTCAATTTTAATAGCACACTACCCATATAATCTAAATAATATAATCTAGATACCTACTATCATATAATCTAAATAATATAATCTAGATATCATGATATAATCTACTTGCTTTCCTATATCGGGTATCTATTTTATACTCTAGATATTTCTTTTAACCTTTCTTATTATTCATATTTTTTTACCGCTATATAATGTAACTAATACCTACCATTTAATCTAACATCTACTAATATCATGCTTTTCTTCTTATTTCTGAGTCTTTTGCATACTAAGTTTTATATTGGGGTTACTAACCTTCTATAGCCATTTGAATACCTAGTTTTATAATGAAAGTACTAGCCTCCTATGCCTAATTGAGTGCATTTTATATTGAGACGCTTATACTTTACGTCTATTTGGTTGCCTTTTAAAATACTGAAATAGTGTAAAAAGAGGTGACAAGTGATGCAGTGGATTTGCGATTAATTTTTGCTGGCTTTATAATATAATTATGGCCGATCTTTTGGGCATGTCATTTGAGAATCCAATTTAACATCATGAAAGCGTTGTGATAGCATTCTGATAATGTCATGAAACTGGTAGAAAACTGTTATGAAACTTGTAGGGAGTTAGTTTTATGTCAGCTTGGGTGACGAATTATTATATCCAAAGTTCTGGCCGAAATTATGGAATAATATTAGCTAAAATTAAGCAAATAAGTCTTATGCGAAGATTATACTGTAGCTAAACATATATCTAGAAAGATAGAGCCTTCTTCTAATATTATATATATAGATTTTGGAAAGGCTTCACTTAGATATATATTTACTTATTTTCTTTTTACGATTTACTTACTAACTTACTATATGTCTCTTTTTTTGAAGGATGAAAAAATAAATGCGCCAATAAAAGTACCTATACCTAAGTACATACTAGTGTTAGGATAGTTTACTTCTATTATTTTATATAATATTTCTAAAGAAGACTACCCAAAATACATATATCCGACTACATACTAGTAATAGGGTATTCTTTTTCTATTATTTTATATAAAGATTCTGAAGAAGAATACTCTAGATATCATATCATACTGGGTACATACTGGAAAAATATAGCCTTCTACCATTTTTATATGATATAATTCTGCAGAAGGCTACACTTTTAGATATATATTAAGAATGTGTTTATTCACAATTTTCCCTGATCCTTATATAGAATATCATATACTATTCCCATTGCTCTGTTAACTAACCCTCCTTTTGTTCATATATGGGTTGAGTGCTAGAAAAATGGACCAAACTGCATCTGCAATTTTTATTTTGATTCAAATTATCAAATTTGTTTAATTTTATGATCAATTTATTTAATACTTTATTTATTAAAAAATATATATACTTGCTTTTTTTTTTACATCATCTAAAATAGTATTAATTAAACTCAAAAATAAATTAATCTATCACTTAAATAAATTAAATAGTATAAAATTTTAATTAAATTAAATACTATAATGAATTTGATCTGTCTTTTTATTTATTAAATTTCGCTTCGGGCTTGTCTAACGGTTCCCGTTCTCTAGTAATATATGAACTATGAAGTTAACACGTGGATCGGCTATTCATCATGTGATCATGACTGTAATTAGTGATCGTTTGTGTGACAAACTTCTCATTTCACGAAACTTTTTTAAACTTTTTTTAACCAAATGCTTTTGACTTTCGTGACTACTATGAATTTTTACAAGGTTGCTCCGATCAAAGAATGGACACGTATCAACATAATGAACTATTATCGCAAGGAGTTAAATATATTAGAAAAAGCAAAAATTCTAGCGTTGTAAAGAAAGATCAGCAGAAGGTAGCAGAGGTTAATTCTAGTTTCGACACGACGTGTAGAATGAGAGCCCAAGAACTTATTGATAATTGGAAGGTGAGTTTACAGATTGAAGTCCGCAATAAGGAACAGGAGTAGCTGTAACTCTTGTATACAGTGGTAACCTCAACTTTCTTAGTTGTAGTGTGGTGTGCTCTTAGCTCAAAACTTCTTTTTATTTTCTTGGGAGGAGCTGAACTATTTAGTTCAGTGGTAATCTCAACTCTTTAGTTGTGCTGTGGTTTTCTCTTAGTTCGAAACTCCCTTGTTATATTTTAATTGGAGATTTCTTGATATGAAATAATTTGAAAACGCAGATTTTATTTGCCAAGGATTGGGTTGCCCCAGTGAAAAAAATACATAGATCAAGTCGAATTTACATAAAGATTGAGGTTGTCCGGATTAATCAACTGCTTGATGCGATCAAAGTTCTGTGAACCAGGTTGATATATTTCAGAACCAGTTTGTTAATTATAGTTGAAAGCGTCCTCCGGATAATGATGAACAGATGGATATAGAAGCATTGGTGAAGTAGGCAAGACTTGAAGCTGAAGTGAAAGATACAAATTCTAATGAAAACCTTATTTGCGGTAAGAATGGATTTAGATTATTAATTTTGGTATTATAAAGTAACTAATATTTACTCCTCTGGGCCTTCATTATCTTCTTCATCAGGCAATAATGAACAACATACCTCATTACCAAACAATAATCAAACTTCTCATAAAAGAAATAATTTGGTTGAAGAGAAGAATACAAATGAACTCATCGAGTTCCTACAAAAACGAAATTTGTCCTTGAATGCAGATTATTTCGAAGTTTTGAGCAACTGAGAGATTATCAGTCGCGACTTCCTTAGGATGAAACAAAAAGATTTTAGAGATTGTGGGCTAGAAATGGGGCCAGCGATGAGACTTGCAGATCTCTCTAAGGAGCTCAAAGACCAAAAAAAATAGCTATGATATTGTGTTATGCCTTTATCTCATTTGATAATTTGCAATAACTTATCGTGTATGTAAATAAAGATTCAAGTAACGAATTCACTAACTCATTCGACTGCTTCCGAATTTGATATGAATAAGTTTCGTAAAGAATTTAATGGGGATCTCTGTAAACTCCTTAATGATAGTAATAAGAGTATTTATAACGAATTTCAAAATATTAAGGGAGATATAGAAAAGATTAGACGTCAGATGATAATACAGTGAAAAGTCTTGAACAAAGAAATGATATCGAAGGAAGTGAACTTGACTACTGATCAAATTATACTAACTCAATATTTGCGGTTTTAATTCGTCATCTATTATTGAAAGGTGTATTAGCTAAACTTACAAAAAAAATGTAGCTAGTCAATAATCTTAATTTTATACTGCAAGAAATAAATGAGGTATTTGTTACTCGCATCAGAAAAATAAAAAAAAATACAAGATCGCTTTATAATGCTAACTTAATTAGGGATGCATCTTTTATTGCTTGATTACATAACAATTATTATATATCGCAATATACATATAGTTAACTTTCTTGTGGTAGTTTAAAAGTAATCGGCACGAATGTAGTTTACATTTTATAATTTATTATCTGGCCACTGAGATCGAACACCCGAAATGCACAGTACGATATCGAAAAGCTCTTGCTGAAGAATAGGGGCTGCGAATCGCATATATACATATTCGCATTAATTTTTCGACTTGATTTGCATTTATTTTTGCATGTCATGTTGTTAGCTGTAAAATTAACATTATTATAAAATCATCAAAATTGATCTACAAATTATTATTTGACTTAGTTGACAAATATGACAAATTGGTCATATTTGACCGATCTA